ACCTTCATCATCTTTCAACTCATAATCCAGAACATCAAAAACAATATTTTTCCTCAATCAACCCACAATAGAAAAAAAAATGAAAATAGAAAAACTATGGTTGGGTCCGATCCGCACCCACAACCAAAAAAAAAGAAAAAGAAAAAGGGAAAAATCACCTACTGCTTGGCCGCCATGTGAGGGTCTTGCGGCAGGCATATATGGTCACTGCAAGGCCCCCACACAATGACCAAATGTGATCAGCCACGTCCGTTGGCAAGAGAGAAGAAGAAAGAGGAAAATAATAAGATAGAAGAAAAGAGAGAAGGAAGTGAAGAAAGAGAATATAGATAACAAGAAATAAAGGAACTTAGGAAGAAACAAAGTAAACGAGCAATACTACACTCATTCACTTTCTCTCACTAGTGCGATATGTCAATTTATAATTAGTTAATTTATATGAGTCTTGCCTAAAAATTGGTATAGTCTAACTAAATCAATTACAAACTATCACATGAGATTAGTAAAATATGTTAGTGAGGCTAATATTATTGAAATAAAAATACAGAAAGGGTTATGGTGAATTTACTATCTTATTGTCTTTCTTTTCTTAAAATTAACAAACGGATTTTAACAAATTTTTTAGCGGGGAAACTTAAATGCACCAAACTCTGGGTGGGAAACTGTCATTCTCCGTTATATACATGTCAAGATTTCCCTTATTTTTTCCGAATTGTTTTAATTATTTTGATATGAAACAATAATTGACATTCAAACTTAGAGATACTGAGATACACAACAAATATTCTTCTTCAATAATAAAAAAGAATATACACATATATATCTAACAATAAAATCAGGCTAAAAAAAAAAAAAAATACCAAATAGTACAAAGCCACGTGTCAATAATTAAAGCGCCATTAATAAAATCTGTGTGGGACCTACTCTATGAGGCCACACCAAATCTCTGACCAGCCAGATCACACCGTACTTGGGCGAGACCGATCCTTGAATTCTCAAGATCAAATTCCATCCATACGTTTTGTTGATGATGATGACCGATTACGTACGCCTCCACACCTAATAAATCTGAGTTCCCAAACGTCAGACAATGCACCCCATCACTTCCCCTTACTTCACCCGGTACCCGATACAGGAGCCGCTCACTCGTTACCGTCATTTCGGCGCCCCGAAACACCATACTCACACTTGGTAGTTCGGGTAGAGTGGATTGATTCAGTGGAACTCGGTAGCACAAATCCATTGCTCCTTGAAATGCGAAACTTTGATCCTCTAAAACCTTTAAAATGTTTGTGGTTTGGTTCAAGAACTCGGTTTTCAATGCACTGTAAGCGGGTCCGAGTAAAAAAGTGAACTGGGTACCCGAATCAACCATGGTTTGACCGGCCCCGGTATGGTCCGGTTCAAAAACGGATTTCGGTAATGGGAGCAACTTATCCGAAACTCGGATTCCTTCGAGCTGAACCGTGTAGGCAACTCTATCAAAATACGGTAACGGAGTTGATATTTGGATTAACGGTGTGTAATTTAACGGTGCAAGCCACGTAAGATTGGCATCACCGAGTAGCAAAAGACCCGAAAAATCAATACCAGATATGCAATACGAGAATTTCGGAAAACCCATTTGAGATATAAAAGATAAAGACCCACGGTTCATACCCATTAACCCAGTGGTTTTAGAGTCTTCCCCTGGGTTGGAGCTGAAAGTCGAGTCCATGCACCCGAAAACGAGACCCGGAAGCTCGGATGACCCGATAAAGAAATTTTCGGAGGCGAGATTTCCTTCAGAGGAAGAAGCATCCGCATATGAAAGAGTGGCGTGGCAGAGGTTGTTTACGTCACAAGAAGCCGGAATGTTGAAGTCTTGGGTACCGTTGGTGCAGGTGGGTGAAGAGCAAGGAACGGGGTTGTAAGAGGATGAACGGTTCGGATCAAAGGAATTCGGGTAATTATATCGGGTTTTGTTGCAGTTAAGCCAGGAGAGTTCACTTCCAGTGTCTAAAACCATGGAGACATTCTGTGGAGGTGTACCAACAGTCAAAGAGACAGTGAGGCTCACGTTGTGATGAAATGGGAGCTTGTTTGGTGATCTCGGAACAGAGCCAGATGGGATTAGTTGAGTTTTTAAGGATAATATAAGCATATCCTGTGAAGAAAAGCTGAGCTGGAACTGGATTTGGATCAACAGAATGTAGAGAAACACAAAGGAGGGATTTCTAAGATAAGGGTCAAACATATGGCAGAGAATGTATGTTTTCATTGTAATGCAACAGTCGGATAAACAAGAATGTAGAGTTTTATGGACAGAAATGAGAAGAATCAGGGGGAGGTTGAGATGGGTTAAAAATGGAGAGAGACAGAGTAGAAACCATGTCGTTTAGGTGATTTTGAGACCCTTTTGAACAGACATGTGCATTAAGTAGTTAACAAGTTGTAATGTGTCAGTATCAAAATTGGTTACACGTTTTCTGGTTGTTCATCTGAAATCTGAAGAAGTGTCTGCCACCAAAGTCCAACTTGAGTTAAAACTAAAACTAAATTTAGATCTACGAAGAGCTAAACCTGACTGTTGTAGGCAACTATCTTGACAACGACTGCGCGCGCTTTCATGACACTTCGGCTTAAATCTAACTCCTTAATTCAAAGTTACCAGAGAGAAAAATTAGTTGAGTTATGTAATTAATTAGATTAAGACATAATGTTACTTTATGTAATCTTTTTGTTTATTAGAGTTAAATTTACTATGGGACACGTGGTAATCCCATTTTAGTAATGAAACTATTGGTATCGCTTTTGCTTTTCTTTTCTCCTTTCTCAGCTGTTCATTCTATTCTGTCTACTGCTTTTTGGTTCCTCCATTTTCGAGGATCAATTTTGAGAAGCCCCTTTTGAAACTATTGCTCTTCTGTAATTGTTTGGCTTTGTTTGGGAGGTAGATTCTGAGATTAAATAAAGAATTAAATGGTGTAGGTGAGTGTCTGTTTTGAGGAGAGAAATTAATGTGGCTGATCGGGTAAATTCTCCGGTTGAAGGTTCGGTAGAATTAGCAGACCAATTCCCAATTATCTTAACTACCATTGGGTGGCATGATGTTAAAAAATCAAAATGATGTTTTATAAGTTCTTGAGTTTAAGTCACTCTAGGCACTAATAGGGGTGGTCATTAGGGTTCTTATCCAATAGTTTTCGAGATTAGTTGAAGTACACGTAAACTGACTCAGACATCGTGATGATAAACCAAAAAAAAAAAAAAAACTCTTCATTATCTTTATGTCATTATCAGCTTAACACATCATACATGGTAAATAAATATATAATGTTATGTTAATGTTACAACCAATGTTTTAAAACCCGACCCGGACTGGCCAGTTCAACCGGTTGAATCGGGAACTGGTGATTGAACCAGGTCGATTCAACTAAAAAACCGAAAATATTAAATTACCCAATTTGAACCACAGTTTGACCCTTTTTTTTTTTTTTTTTTGTTACAAACCACCAGTCCAACCGGTTTGACCCAACGGTTAAACTGTATTTTTATTATTTTTTAATTTTTTATATGTCATACTGACGTTAGAATAGCGTCATCACGTTAACATTGGCATGGACATCATGGTTCGACTCGACGGTTAAACCAGTTCAATTGGTGATCTGACCGGGTCACTCCCCGGGTCGGGTTTTAAGACCTGAGTTACAACAACTGCTTGTACGGAGTGTAACTTCAATGAATGACATTTCATCAGAAATCTCATTCCCCCCAATGGCCCCAAACCCATTCTTTACGCATATTCATGCTTTGATTATTTGGGGCCTAATCTATGGATGGTGTAGTAACTAACCACGCCGTATAATTACATGTTTGTTGTATCCCATACCTTCAAGTCTTCAACAATAATTAATGAAAAAAAAAAAGAATTTCACAGATATGCTTTAATTGTAATTAAACTACATTGAAGACTTGGTTGGTTCATTATTCCTAAGAAATTGCTTAAAACATGGATATGAATAAGATCTAATCATAATAAAAAAATTCTGTCAGTTAAATTTGGAGTTAAAGACTTTTTCCCACCCAGTTAATGTTTAATGATACTTTTCTACCCATAAACTTTTAAAATACTATTTTACTATCCAAATTTATATTTTAACATTGAACAGAGAGCAAACTCAGTTCAAACTGTTAGAGCTTTTGAAAAGATGAGACCGATGAGTCTTTCGGTAATAAAAAGTTGACTTTTGGTGGTTGTAGTTGATCAAAATTTGACTTGGGAGAGGTTACTGCACAAACTCTAATCGCTCAATTGTCTACGATCAACAAGGTCGATGGGAGTAGGGTTTGAGAGATTTTTGTGAGTGATGATCAGGAAAGAGAATGGTGGTAATGTGGAGTCGCAATAATGCTAGAATCGGAAACGGAATATGAATTTGGATAGTAAAGTAATATTTTAAAAGTCTATGGGTGGAAAAGGTCATTAAACCATTATTTGGGTTGGAAAAAGTGGTTTACTCTTAAATATGGGGTTACTCCACTTGAAAATCTCTGAAAAACCTCAAATCATTGAAGGGTGAGGTGATGCGAATGTGAATAAGGTGGTGAAGGTACTTAACAAAAGTATGTTTATCATTTTATCAGACTTTATGCAGATAATCCACAGATTTGAGGAGCTGTAGAACTGATATAACTAAATTAATGAAGAGTTAGATACATTAATTAAGAATACGCGTCTTGTGTTTAAGTAAAACAAGACATTAACTAATTCAAGATAGTTTAAGTAGTTAATCAGACATTCACGCGGGTTGTTCTAGAATGTGGTTGAATCCAAGTGCAGTTTATCTTGTACGCCAAAAAAAAAAGAAGAAAAAAACATGTTCAGTCAGGTGGTCGCACATGCAATGCTGAATTGTTTAAGGACACAGTTCGTGGTTGGGTCCATTAATAAAATGGGTTCCCTGATGATTCCCATTCCTATGCAAAAACTTTATAGAGGTTCTCGACGATGACACCAGATAAAGAAAGAAAGGCGAAGTTCTGTCAAATCGAAGAAATCGACAGGGAGACAGGGTATCAACCATACACATTAAGTTGAGCATTTGATATTTCAAAAACATTTTCATAATTTAACTGCAGACAATGTTTTTCTATTGCCAAAACTGGAGCTCTATCCATTTGTGTTATGGTGGCTTTGATAATATGATCTCAATTTCTTGTCTAGCTGTTTCAGTCAATCTCTTCGAAAGATAAATGGGAATTTTACTATAAATTTTCTGTTGAACACAATGGCACAAGATGATAAGCTGCAGCAGAGAGATGCTGGTTTCTTCACTCATTCGTTTGATTAGCAATTCTTGTGAGGGCTGAATATGTCCCAGCATATGCACATACTACTCCAATAGTAATGTAGAAAAGGCAAACTGCAATCTGATTAAAGAAGAATAAAAAAAAACATCTGATGAGCTAAAACTTTTTTCCCTTTATACTGGGAAGAATTTCGCATATATTGATGTCGAAGAAGTGAAAAATGCTTACCTTCAACTTAGATAGTCTACCTTTAAGTATGCTCAGGTAACATACACATGGAAAAATAAGAGTCTGCAATCAAACATTTAGATTATAGCTACATTTGTTTTGTTCTTTATAAGCATTAAATCAGAGGTTTATCCGAGTAAAGGAAACTTACAACTAGCATTGTAAGAAATGATCCTACTAATGACATCAAAGAAGCTGCAGTCCAAACAAATGAGCAGCTTAGTGGAAAGCATATGCATTTCTTTGATGTACATCATATTCAAAAATCAGACCAATGTTACAACTAATTTATGTGTAAATTTAAAATGTTCGTACCAAAGAATGGAACTGTGAGTGCCACAACCAAAGTTGAAATTACTAAAATTGTTCTGATGACTATTGATACACTGTAAGTTTGAAGCTGGGCTGAAGGAATCAATTCCTCCAAACTCAATGCAACTGGTGTAAGTGTCAAGGCATACTTTGTCATTGGGATCACAACCTAGAAAAAGAATAAATTTAACATTTGACAACGAATACAAACTGACCTCAAGTTCTGAGTACTAGTTTAATAGTCTAACAATCTTGATTTGCTGGATGCTGATGTGCGAAAAACTGACTACAACAATGAATATAGATTGTTCTCGTACCGTTGTCCAGAGAGAAACTTTGGAAGCCACCAATTGTTTGGGCATGTTTAAAGTGAATTGAGACTTGACTGAATCACCAAACATCAGGTAGCCACAGACTGCTATCCCAGTGTTCAAAACCCACCCAAAAAAGAAGCTGCAGCAACAGAGAGATGGATATTTTTGTTATAGCTGATTTTCTGAAGAACAAGTGATTTTATACACAAAGTTAAATAGTAATTGATTTTGAACAAAGGCAAAGTTAGATAGTGATACTAATCATCATTTACATTTATACAAGTTCTTGGTATTTTTGCGTACTGAACCAGGAAAACAATAAAAATATTGCTGTCACCTAATTATAAGAACCCAAGGAAATTGTGATGGTTCTTTCATTGAAGAATATATGTTTGGAAAAACTGAATGGCCGGCATAGCAAAAACCATATATTCCCACTGAAACAGGTAGATTTGCCAAGTCTAAGGCTGTTCCGCTAAGATGAAACCCCACATTGTCTACCACCCCAATCCATACCAGGCAAAGCATCACCAGACCAGTTGTAAGAACTCCTCCGACTGAGCACAAGGGCTTTAAGAGTGAGCAGGTACACCTTTCGGGAGGAATGTCAAGAAAAATAAAGCCCGAGACTAAAAGGGAGAAGTAAAGATAAAGAACCTGAGATATACGTGAGAAAGCTAAGGTTTCGAAGCCAAACAGTTGGAAGAATAATGAGGGTTGATGTTATGGCAAAGAGTTGATTGGAGTTAAGATGCATTCCCGCAATATACATGTTGGTGTTCGGAAACAATGACGACAAGTTATCACCCATCATGATTGTGTACTCCACACAAGCAGCCTACAGAACATAGCACTCTTCACCTTTTAGCTCATAATAAGAACAGGGCACCAAATTAAATAGAGAATTGTGACAGGCAGAAAATGAAAATTCGAAGGACTTACATATAATTCCATGTACAAGATTATCTGCATTTGACAAAAACTCAGCTCTCAGTGTTACTTCGGATGCAAACAAAAGTATGTACGTGAACAAATACATGCTTGTTGACATTGGAGAATCAATTTCTTAATTGAACTTACAGCTATCATTTGGCGACCAGGTTTTCCAAAAGCAGCCTGTCCAATATCAGGGTAAGTTCGAAGTCCGGGAGAGCTATCTAAACATTTCTGCAATAAAATCCCAGTATCACAAGCAATGACAGCAAACAATAAGATCAGTGAGAGGCTCAACCACCCTCCTTCTTTGACCGCAAAGGGAGCTGCTAGAAGTCCTACGCCACATAGAACATTGATTCCTGCATAGAAGAAAAACCATGACTTCCAAGTTTTTAAGCATATAGCAAAACAATAACCTTACAAAGCAATTGACTCTATGAATACTAGATTTCGACAAATATATACGTGTATCCATTTAGATTATATCTAGATTGCACCTCCTTCATAGACTGCATTCAAAAAATGTTAAGAAAACAATGACCTATGAAACATGCAATGAAAATGAGGAGCGTCAAACTAGTATCCCCTTACGAAAGTGATATTTCAGAATGAGAACCCAGAAATCTAGCTACTAGCAATGAATGTATCCTATTTTGATATTCGACAATGGAGATCAAGGAATAAAGGTGTAATCTTAAGTAAAACACATAACTGTAGGATTCAAGAAAAGTATAAAAAGTCAGAAAGGTTACTGTTGCTTCTAAACGTGGTTTATTTCTACTCTGCCCACTGATTCTATGGAATAGATTATTTCTTCAGTAAATGCAGTAAAATACCAAATACATGTTTATGTAATTTTATAATAAAGAATTAGATCTCTTATGAAGCTTGCCAAGATGTGGCTTTTAGTTGGCTTATTCTTATTATCTTACTGCATTTCTTCATTTAAAATTTACAGAGAAAGAAACTTATAAGGTTTACCATTAAGAACTGCTTGAGCAAATGAACTCTGCTTCTTCTGAGGAGGCAACTCATAGTCATTGAGAGATAATTTTCTACTGGACAACTTTTCAGGGACTACTTTTTCTAAATCAGAAATTAGGGGTTTAGTGGGCAAGGAATCAACATCAGAAGCTAGATTTCTCTTGGATGGTAAGCGCATGGAACTGCCAAGTCTTGTCAGACTAGTCCCTCTCAGGAAACCAAAGGAAGGGGATGCGATACTTGTGCACATGTCCACTGAATCCCTGCATATACACATTCCACAAATACATGTTCAAGGAGAATAGAAAATTGCTTTGCTTATTCTTCTTTTACAAATCGTAAACAGAACTATCAACAACAATAATAATAACAAAACCTGTAGCTCTGAGGCCAAATGGTATGACCATTATCGGTGGCATTATCCGAGGCCATGGAATGGCCAGAGTAATCAGATTCTGAATCATCATTGATTTCACATACCCTTTCTGCCTGATTTTCTTCATCATCCGTCGCAAATTCATCTGCGCGTTCTGTTCCCAGATCCTCATCCATCAGCTTCATATTTTCCTAATTTCTTCAAATATCCTTATTTTTTAACACCCCCACAATATAATACACCTGCACAACTACAAAACTACTGTTCCCTTCTTCTAAACTTGTTTTTCTTTGGGTATCAATATCATGAATACGTAAAATGATTGCAATGAAAGCAGAAAGCCAAAGTAGTGAAAAAGGTGCAGATCTTCTTGTCTTGGTTTCGTCAACCTATAAATCCATGTTAATCGGAAATGGAGGGCGTGCTTTTCTGCAATTAAAGAAGGCTATGATGTTGTGCAAGTATAAACGTGTCATTTGGTCAGCAATTTGCTGGAAGATAATGGATTATTCTCCGAATATTAATAGCGGCCATGCAAACAACTCAAACTCAATCAAAAACTTGTATACCTATTTTGTTTCATTTTTTTCCATATTTGTTGTTGCTTCCTTTCATGTGCTTGTGGCCACTTTTATTATGTGCCTACCTAATACGGTTTTCTTTTCTTTTTCAAGTCTGAATGTTTTCTATCAGTTTTTCGAAATATAAACACAATCATCAAAATACTTAAATGTCAAACCGATAACCACAATTTTGAGACATCAAAATTTTGTAATTTAAAGATAAGTTTGAAGTTTAAAAATGTTGTCTATCTGATAGGAATTTTGATGATGAAGTAGATAAGAATATCAAACTTATGTTTATCTTCAATAAACTGCTTGACTTGATCTTGAGAAACATTATTTCGGTTGAAGGCCCCTCATTTCACAAGCCCGGTGTTCATTGGTTGTTTGTCAGCCCATGAATGTGGCTGAAGAAGCATAACAGTGGGGATAATTTAGGGAAAAGGGGAAAAGAAATTGCGGGCAAATATATTACAAATGTAAAATTAGATTAAAGAAGAAGAAATATATCATCATGGTGATAAACGTAGGAAAATTTGAGGTAGGAGTTACAGTATAACAGTGTCGGGACTTCATGGTACTGAAATTACAGCAGGGCTAAAGTTCAAAATTACAAAACACAGTAATTTTTTATTTATCAATTTGATTGAGCTTTCCAAGGCCACTGCAACGAGCACAGACAATCTGAGTCTCATCCTTTCGAGCAGCGTTTGCCCTCAGGGTAACTCCTGATTTCCGAACAAAACCTGCTCCGTCGCATTCAGGGCAGCTGTAACAAGCCTTTCACGTATGTTAAAAAGAGATGATTTTTCTTCCCTGGGGCTTTAAAGCAAAATGTTCGAACTTAAAACGTTTGAGTCTTCTTCATCAGTATCTAAAATGTACTTATTGGGAGCTTTAATAGCTAAAGCAATGAGAATTAACAAATAAAAAAAAAGGAGATTACGATAGGCAATATGAGAGAAAGAGGTGACTTACGTGTCCTTGCGGGAGAAGAGGACTGGAAAGGCAGTTCCGAGCAGGGCAACAGTGGCTGCACCGATAAATAAGTAGGTGGTGCCATCAGCTGAGACGTCTCCGACGGCTGCAACCACCGTCAATGATCTTTTTTTATTCTTCAACACCCTACCAGTTGGTGTTGGTAGAGCAGAAAAGCCTGTGAGAGAAGGGCTACTTGCTACGGCCAAATGCTTCCTTGTCTTGGTAATAGTATAAAAACTCTGAAGAGGCGCTATCGATGCCATTCTGGTGATGCAAATTCTGATTGTTTTACTCGAAAGAAGAAGTTTAAATTGGCTTCAGAAATTGTTGAATGTCAAGGTGACGCATATAATGGATAAGGCCACGTCAGAACTCAAGATTGTGGATAAGGGTGGTCCAGAGAACTTTACTGATCCAATGAAAACAACGGAAAAATCCCAGCTTGTTTGTCAACTCCCATATGATATTTATCCTTAGTGTTGTTGCAAATTCTGAAACCATCAAGGGAAGCACAATGCAGTCTCATTATAACTGCTAAACATGGCCCGAGTAAGCCAGTAAATTGTGTGGAACCTTTGCTAAATGTGTGATTTATGTTAAATTCATTGGCTACCATTCATGGACAGAAAGATCTGATCTATTGTATATTTATACACAAGCCTTTTCATGGCTTCTTGAAGATTCCTTCTTGAATTTTGATCGTGTTAATACTTCCCAGTTTCCACATGCCCTTGATAGTAAGCTCTGCGCATAAACATTGGCAACGGTTGGGTAACAATTTGTGAAATGGAAATTTCCATCACAATGAAATTTTTTAAGCCTGTAGTAACTCAAGTCTGAAAACAGATATGATTAAAATTTACAAATAGCAGGACAAAATTACAGTAGGGGAACATCAACCCCAGTAATTTAGTATCTTCCTACTAATAAAACGTCCAAGTTTTAAATTTGTTATAGAATAATTCGTCCCCTATTTCTGATGCGAAACATGCTCTGAATAATAAGACATTACACATATCATTAATCGGTATTCTTGCCATTTCATGAATCTGTAATTGGAGGAAAATGCTGGAATTTCAAGCAAAATAGAGTGCAACCGTTTTACATTTCAACACAAAGTTATAAACAACCTGTGTAAAAGAATCACAATGTCACGCCACCATAATTTTTGTAGCTCTTCACATATTCTCTCAATTAGGTAGAAACATAAAAATAAAATTTTGCCACGAATGAAAAGCCTTAATGATTAAAAAGCAAATTTCCAAAGAAAAATGTCCTCAAGATAATAAATTTAAGTTCACTAATAAGACCTCTATATGCCACATAAAATGGAATAAATTTCAAATAATGGACACCCAAAAGCATGAAAGAAATTGATAAACACTTACAAGGTAAAGGGCACCAAGTTATTCAATCAAAATCATCCATTGTGACCCAATATCCATATCTTAGCACAAAATAACGTTTTGACTTTGAATAACAAGATTCAAGATGATCCAGCAGTAGATGTGCCAGTTTACCTATATCCACATTAATGGCCATGGCCCATTCCCAACTGTGAGCTTCTGTTAACATATGGAAAATCTGGAATCAGCAGAACCATTCACATGGTCAATAAATTCGAACATGAGAGAAAACCCCAGCATTATAGACCCACTTTTAAGAAACGATTGGCGTTTTGATTCAACAATGAAAAAAAAATAAAAAACCACACAAGATCAGTGGAACAAAGAGACAGACCATGTTACATGAAATGCAATGACTAAAAATTCAAATAAAGTACCGAAGACGAAAGAGCACAAAAACTGCCATGCAAATACAATATGAAGGGAAAGAAATTAAGCAAAAACTTGGTACAAGTAAAACGGTTAATGGAATACTTTAAGCCTGAAACCTAACACCGATACAAACACATTCACAATTATAAAATAAAATCTATTAGCTGCTTGTCTGATCATTCAAATTAATAACCCATTGTAAGATTTCCTTGGAGATAAAACTAAATTGCCTTTGATTCTGCAGTCAAGTGGATGCACGGTTACTGAAAAAAGCATTTTGTAAAACAAATTCAATACATGAACTAATTCAAAATTTTACATATACAACTGCAGAAAAATACCATAAACTGCTGCCACAAAATTACATGAGAGAAAGAAGCAAGCATAAAACTATTGCATTAAAACCATGAACAATTACAATTATACATAATGATTGGTACCTCACTACCTAGATCATGACTCTCAAGTGTCCACTCTAACAGCATAGCTTACTTCTTCTGCGTGAAACTATCTCCTACTAGTTCAAAATTCTTTCTTTTTCTTTGTTCGACACAGAATAAACTGAATAATTAACCCATTTCTCTTCCTTAAACGTCATTATTTACAGCAACTTACTAATACACTTTACAAAATGTTTCTTTTGTTAAGAGGAAGACGACGATGATCATAGTATTCAACAAAAAACAAAACCCTACATAAACAATCAAAACTAGATTCACCATCTGGGTTCATCAAAATTCCAAGCGTTTCTCCTACCATAAATAACATCATAAAACGGACTTCTACTATCAAAGTCAGCACTAGTACGTGAAAACGTATACCTAATCCGCCCAAAAATCGAAAAGAAATTGCGAAAAGCACGACCAAATCCCCGTCTCTCTCTAGCTCTCCTTCCACTAGGCACCCAGGAAATCCTTCTCGGGGCACCACCAGCATTGTTAAACCTACCATCCATTTCAGTGAAGACAACAGGAAAATCTCTTTCATCAGCTCCTCTATTGCCACTAAACCTCCCAACAGCAAAACCGCGACCTGGCAATCTCCATATAGTTAACCCCACCGTGTCTTCGTCACGAATCCTACCGGATTCTCGCAAATTACGGATATTACCTTCCCTCGGCAATTCATGCCGACACACAGGACACGAATTACGAATTGAAAGCCAAGGAAGAATACAATCGGAGTGGTAAATGTGCTTACATGGCATCTCACGAGCCTCTGAATTAAGCTCGAACGCCTCTTTACAAACCGCGCAATGTGAGTCTTTTGCCACGTGGCACTCGACGATTTTGACCACCGGCATTGACTCGATCGCTGCTTTCGAGGCCGGAGGGTTATCAAACCGTGTAACTCCGTCAATTTCCAACTGTGATAACTGGTCAAGAATCCGGTCAAACCCTGACCCCATCAAGAACTCCGACATGCTCGAGGGTAAGGGTCTAAGGCCCAACCCTAATCCATCATCGTAGTAAAGCTCAAAATTTCCCCTCTCAGCACCATTTTCGTCATTTCCACCATCAGGGGTTTGAGGTCCACGTAGGACGATGACGGGGTTAAAAGGAGATCGATCTCCACCGTTTCTCCGGGTTCTGCGTAGCCTCGGGCTCGTTAAAGGTTCCTGATTCTGTGATCCGTCGACGTACATGGACGCGGCCATGAATCTCGGCGGAGGAGATTGGGAACCCGTTTCGATTTGCTCGATAAATCCAGTGCCACAATCAGGGCAGACGATCGTATCTTGCGTCCGGCCCCGAATCCGGCTTAACCGACTGCAACGATAGCACCAGTACGAGGATCCCGTTGAAGCCATCGACAAACAGATAAATTCGAGGAACAAAGCTCTAAAAGAAAACTCCTTTCTTCAATTAGAAACAACGATTGTTCTTAAAATGTGGTGAGATTTTCAGATAATCGAAGAAAGATTCAGTAATTTGAAGAACCCTAATTTCACTGAGCGGCAGAGAGAGGGAGGGAGATATAGGAGTAAAGTTAAAACAGAATTGAAGACTTTAAAAGCGTCGCGTGGAAGACTCAACGGTGAAAGCGCGTCATTGGTTAAGGTAATTTAAGCTAAACGTGCTACTTACGCTTTTTGTTTACCTTTTTAAAAAAATAATTGACGGCGTTAGTGTTCCGGTAGCTATTTGAAATAAAAGATTTTTTTTCTCTAATGTACCAGAAAAGGAATATTACAGTACTGTCCGCCTGTCCGGTAAAATTCCCCCTCGCCTGAACTACTCAACGTATAAATCAAAAGTATTTTAATATTATGTTTGATTTTGAATTTGAATTTCGTATTTATTACCCAAAAACATTTTTGTATAAAACTTTTTCTTAACGTTTATTGTAAGAAAAATATTTTTAGTATTGGTTAGCCCTTTAAACATTTTTTAAATTTAACCATTTTATTTTAAACGTTTTTTCAAACTTTATTTTTACTGTAAAATTAACATTAGTTAATTGTTATGCAAAATAAATGGTGGGAAAAAGTTTGGATAATATAATATAAAATTACTTGGACAAAGGTAATCATATGAAACAACATATAGAACAATAATAAATAATGTACAAGTGAAAGTACTATAAAATTTAGATATAATTAAACTTGTTAAATATGGTGAAAAATTAGATCATGATATGAATTTAAGATAATTGATTAACTTAATCTTAAGGGATTAGTATGATAGTCAAGAATGTTTGCTTCATTTATTGACGTTTTAGGTTGAAATAGTTTAGGACCACATATCACATTTGTGACTTATTTAAAAGATTGGACTTATCATATTCAATAGATTCAAAAAATTAATTGAAATGCGTATAAACTAATTGGAACACATTAAGTTAACTATTAAAACATCATCTCAAGTTTGAAATAAATTAAATAATCATGAATTTAATCTTTTAAACGATTTAACACATATAACTTAAAAGATAAACTTATAGATAAATTTATATCACTTAATTTAAACGATAAGCTTATATCACTTAAATAAATAATTATTTAATGAAGAGTTTTAAATTTTATAACTACTCAATTCATTTTAAATTTTAAATTTTACTTTAATCAGCTTTCCTCCGAATATCCATTCGATATATAATAATAATAATAAATAATAAATTTAATACCGTTTATTTTTAACTGATATATTTGAATAGATAGATTGATTTGAAATGCTAATAACAAATTGTTTTTAAATTTCTCTCAATCCGTCAGCGATGGGTCACCTAAAGTTTACTGCCGCGGATGTGAATTGACGAGACAATCATTCATCATGTCTGCCGATTTTGACGTTCCAGATATTCAGATCCTTTCAAAGATGCCGTAGATCCTTAAGCTTGACTACCACGTGCGCCGATTTAACCATCCATGCGCATGGCACAACACGGCAACGAGGTTTTTCTAAAAAAAAATTTACTGAAACAGAAATCACCGTCCCTTTTGTTTGCTGTATTGAGCAAAACGACACCGACTAATGGACAAACAAAATCAATACGTGAGGGAGGCGAATATTCCACGTTTTCCACCCCCACTATCAACTTATTATTTTTAATTTAATAATCAGAAGATCAAATTATTGGTTCGTTAACTGGCCATCACTCAACACCAACGTTAGAAGGCGTACCTGCTAAAATGCGCCGGCGTCTAACTGATTTGATGTGATCAGACTGAAAGCGATTTATTTAACGCGAAGAAACGTGTACGGTGTCTGATGCTTGACTCTGATGAAGTCCTCCACAAGTTCAGGTTACCAATTTCTTCTTTCTTCTAATGTTTTTATGGGAATTGGGAAATAATAATGGACCCAACGCTCACATCTTTTCTTGCGTCTCATCAGTCATTTCAGAAGGTATAAATTTAATAATTCATTAAATTTGTCAAATAGAAGTTAATTTTGTATTAAGTTTAAACTTTAAAGTTTAAAGTATTCAATGAATTCGTAAGACAAAGGCCGATTAAATACCGTTATGTAAATCTGAATGGTGAAAGCGAAAAGGGCAAAAGAAAACTTTATTAGTGCGTTTGATTCTTTATTTTAAGTAAGGTTTTGGGAATAATATTTGATAGTTAGATGAGAGAGTATAAAAAAGTCGTTTAATTTACTAATTTAATTAAAAACCCTAATATATAAAATAATAAAAATACCTCCACCACCTGCAATGTCAGATTCCGGCCACCACTACCGGAATCTGGCTGAAAAATTTTGTTACGACATAAACTGATCGGATCTATGTCGTAACGTATCGCTTAGGCCTTTTCCGACCAGATCCACCACGGATCTAGCTGAAAAATATTAGATCTACGACCAAATATTGTCGTCAACCTCCAAAAAGCGTCAAAAGAAGTCCATCTTTGGCTGTCAACGATGGCCAAAGATATAGCCATCGTTTTCGGTCAACGATGGCCAATATTTGGCCGTCGTTGACCATCAACGACGACCAATATTTGGTTGTCGTTGATGGCCAGATCTGGCCTTTTCCGGCCATATCTATTGTGGATCTAGCCAAAAAAAGGCCAGATCGGCTAACTTCCGACCATTTCTGGTCTGTAGGTAGGCCGTTGTACAAATTTCGGCTACCACCGACGGTGGTTGCCAGAATCTGGCAAGTATGGGTTGATAGGGGTGTTTTTGTTAATTTTTAAACTTTTTTCTAGGGGTATTTAATGAAATTAATAAGCTTAAGGGGTCTAAATGTAATTAAAAAAATATAGTAATATTTCTGGAATAATGTGTCAAACAATATTTGGGAAATATGATTGGGAATATGGATAAAAAATAATGAACCAAACATAGCCCATGCGTTCTTAAGTTTGGGTTCTTTCAGATACTAATAGGGGTAATTACTAGGACTCTTATCCAACTGATAATTATAGGGTTTCAAAATATTAGTTGAAATGTACACAAACTAGTTTAAACCAATGTTCTGAAAACCGGACTGGACTGTCTGGTCGGACCGGTTCGACAGGCAACCGACGGCAAATCTGGTCCGGTATATATAAAAAACTGTTATTTTGATTTAAAGCGGATTGGACCGCGGTTGGACCGTCGAAATACTGCCGAATCGCGGTCCACTCGCAGCTAAACCCCGTCGGATTCCGGCATCTTTCGACGGAGAAAACACCCCCATTCGACGGACGGCATCTCCACGACCAAACCCATCCATTTTCAATCGTCATCGTCCAGCCTTCGTCGATCGCCGTCCACCTAAAGTTTACGCAACATCGGATTTCTTTTGTTGATTCCGACGAGTCCCGACGCCGATGGAACTCCCTAGCACCACCATCAGAGTCGTCGACACCTACACATCAAAAGCCCCAAGATTCCAGCTTCGATTAGCCGTCGATCGTCACTGCCGCCACCACTCACCAGAATCTTCGCCGACAGGGGTGTTTTAGATATATTTCAAACCTTAAGGGAGTATTTAGGGGTGTTTTTGATGAATTTCAAACCTTCAGGGACTAAAATTTTTTTATAAATTACGGTCCAACCGACCGATCCAACCGGTCAAACCGAAAACCGAACCCTTGAACGGGTCATTGTCCGGTCCGGTTTTCAAAACATTGGTTTAAACATCCCCGATGATAAGAAAAAAAATTCTAAACTTGATTAGCATGAATCTCCATGGCGATAGGGCTGCTAAAACTGGATATGATTCAATAATACAACACAAACCCATATGTTAAAAGCAGATTTAATTTTATGGTTCGATGTATCATCAGATCAACCCATTAGTAACATATTTCATAACGGATCGTGTTCAGATTTAGTCATAAAAAACGATTAAATCAACCCGTTTAACTTTTTAATTAAATATATCATTAAGTTTAGTAACAAAATATTTAAAAAAGTACAACATATAATATGTGATATTTTGATTATTTTTAAAAATTTTAACCTAATTGATATAAGATACTTGCTAATTTCTATATCATTGAACCAAAAAGAAAAAAAGTTTTATAGTACTCAAAATTTGTTAGTCATCATCAAATTTAGACCAGGTAAACTTTGATATACTTTACTTGTATTTTTGGATTATATGATTATAGATTTTTTTTATGCATTTCAATATATGTGTATTTATGTACCAATAATGCTACGGACACTGAAGATTTACACCGAATGATGTATCAGGTAACCACGTAGCATATTAACAAATATTCCGCTAATAAACGGTCATCCATGATTATTGGACAACCGTTCAATTTAAATGGACTCCTGTCCATAGTTTAAATTGAAAAAAAAATTAAAAAAAAAAATCATGGACGCGCGTCCATACTTAATGGACGGACGTCCCTACTAGGCGTCCATTGTTTAAATTTAAAAAAAAATTACACAAAAATCACAATGGATAGGTGTCCCTATTAGATGGACGCCCGTCCATTGTTAATTTAAATTAAAAAATTTCACAGTCTCAACAAAATTGTAACTACGATAAAAGCATATTGGGTGGATCTAATAAGAATAAAAAGCATGAAAGCAATGGATAATTTTGGTCATATTATTATGACATTTGTCCAATTACTTTGATATAGACAACAAATTGAATGAAGGATAGGGACATTTTCTTTTTTGATCTTGATTGAGACTCAAATGTTGTGTGTAAATTTTTTTTAAATTAAACAATAAACAGACGTCCATATAAAAGGGACGCCCGTCCATATAATATATGGACGAGTATCTATGATTTTTGTTTTAATTTTTTATTTTATCTTAAACAATGGACGGCCGTCTATTCTAGGTGGATGCCCGTCCATAGTAAATGGACTCCTGTCCATATTATATGGATAGGAGTCCATTTAAAATGAACGACCGTCCAATAATCACGGACAGCTGTCCATATTTGATGGACAACCGTTCATTCACGAAATAATTGTTAATATGCTATGTGGCTACATGACACATCATTCGGTGTAAGTCTTCAGTGTTCGTAGCATTACTCATTTATGTATATAGTTTAGTTGTAATATAAAATTATCTATAAGAGCTCAATGATATATGCAGACAGTAAAATCTAAAGTTAATTCGAAAGGAAGAATGAGCCACTGACAATCTGATGGACCTACACAAAGCGTGAAGGCTCGGGTAGACACCAGGTGACATCGATGTGGTGTCTACCGTAGGTACTCTAACGTTCAAGTTAGCAAGGTTGAAGATATTTTAGTGAGGGCTGAGAGCGAAAAGAATTATCGGAATAATGCAGCAGTTCTTGGGAGCAAGAACTTTAAGAGTTATGTGCTATGGGTTATTTCTAAATAAATAATGAGAGAGTTTGCCCCTGTTTATATAGTGAACCAAGAAGGTTGGAATTCTAGTAAGACTCTAAGTCATATTTGGCAGATGAGTTCCAATTAGGAAGGAAGTCTTGAGACTTACCTTTACCAAACTAGGATCTTCCAATTCTAGTAGGTTCAAGATCTTGGTGGAACTGGATAGCGAATAGGATTCTGTTTCCTATTTATGACCTGATATGGGTTAATGGGTTGGAACCTGATTAAACTATAGGACACTTCACAAGGCAGATTTAAGCGTAAGCTCAACCAAAATTGGGTTAAGGCCTTGGATCGTAATATGTTTATTTTGTTATTAGACCTCATTAGACCCAATACGATTTTCAGTCTATACAATATAATATTTCAATGTTCAATAAAAAAAAAAAAAAATAGTAACAACTTTAACGGGTTGGGTTTGGGTAACATGTTAAAAATAGTGTTTGGGTTCAAGTTTTTATATTTAGACTTGATAAGCTAATAGGTTAGATTCAGTTTTAGAAAATTTAACACGACATAAATAAGACACGACACGAAACTATTTCAAACAAAAACCATTGTCAAATATGGAGATAGTTGTATAAAATACTTAGTATTAAGTTTGAAAAAAAAAAATTTAAAAACTTATTATTTATTAATAAATTTAATCAGCTGAGTTGATTTGAATTAATTCTTTTTTAAGTATCATGTGATTCATGATTTATGCATCAAATTAACTATATGTATATAAGATTGGATTTTATCTAATTAATAAGCAATTTTCGTCTAATAGTGTTTAATAAAATACAATAATAGATTGTATTAACATCTTCTTCTAGAAATGCTTCATCTTCTCCCATTCTGTAGATATATACAAATACATACATCTAGAAGAAGATGTGCTGTAAGGAGGGAAGTATGAGACCGACATATGAAGGGTATTTTGGTAAACAATGAAGAGGTGATTATTTTCGCTTACACCTCAAGATATGGTTAATTTCATTATTTTTCTTTTATTTATTAAAGTCTTGTATAGGCATTTATTTTTATGGGCTTAACTTCTGGCCCATTAAAATATTGGGCTTAATTCAGACTGGTCCATATAAAACTGTGGTGTCTGGCAGTGTCTGGAATCGTCTCCACTCTCCACTATCCCCAGCTTGTCGGTACGTGCCGCTATAGTGCTATTTATATCGAAGAGTCTCTCCCATTCTGAACTTCATTATGAAATTTTGTATTAACACACACGATTCTGCTGGTTTATTAATAGGGTTAAACTAGGGTTTTATTTGGAAAAAAATGGCCAATAACGGACCCAATTGGGACGGATTACTTAAGTGGAGCATCGCGAACTCTGACGGCACTCGTTCACAACGCAATTTGAGGTACCAACTACAGTTCTTTTATTATTTGAAGTGCTTTTGGTTTATGGACCTTAAATTAAGGTTAATTAATGGATTGGTTTATGTCGGTTAGTGACGAAGATCGAAGATGGTTTATGGAAGCGATGCAAGCGCAGACCGTGGATGTAATTCAGCGCATGAAAGAGATAACTCTTGTCATGCAAACTCCTGAGCAAGTTTTGGAGGCTCAAGGAGTTACTCCGAAAGATATTGAAGGTAATTTCATAGTATCTATTATTATTATTTTTTAAGTTTTCTTAGTTTAATTAAATGTTTATGTATTGACATGGCTAATGGTAATGTATATGGTCGCAGATTTGTTGGATGAACTACAAGAGCATGTGGAGTCCATTGACATGGCTAATGGTATGTGCTTATGCTATTTTATGAGTAGGGTTATATTTTGAATTTTGGGTTTGCATTTCAATTGTTACAATTGTCAATCCAATGCTATATCCAAATTACTCGTAGTTATGTGCACGCCTAGGCCAATATGAAGTATCTTTTATCACTTAGGGAAGTTGCATTTTCCTATGACAGGAAATGTATCCATTGTAGTTGGATATATTACATTATTAGTACTTTTCTAGAAGCAAACAGCAAATTATATGAATAAAGTATTTGTTGCCTGTAAAAGCTACATTTTTGGTTGTTTGAATAGTAGTAGCTATATATGTTTGTTTCTAACGTTACTCTCTTAACTCTTTAGTGGGGTTATATTAGTTCGATTTTAGGTTTTTAGTTGGATATTTGTGAGTATTATTATCTCAAAAGAAAAACACAATTGCCAAACGGACTTTTGAGCAGAAACAAAAGTTTTAAATCAATTTTTTGATATCTGAAAAGGAAAAAATTGGATCAAACACTGGCTGGATTGGTTTTGAATAAAGCTATTTCAGAGATATTTGGAATTTTGTGATATAATTCACTTTACACTAAGTGCGCACATTCCCTTGTCTTTTATGGTTTATGGATTTTGCTTCCACTATGATCATTTTGCAAGGGTGATTCTGTTTGAATTCTTTTTGTACACGGTTTGGAAGTCAGATGTAATGCTTTTGAATTTGTTATATAACAATATTCACCTTAAAGAATCAAGCATGGAAATGAGATATAGATAAAGACTGAAGTTACTCTAAATAAATGAATTTTTGGTGTCTCACATTTTTACCTCCTCCCCCTCCTTTTTCTGACTTGTTTATCATATATTGGTCTAGCCTTCTGTGGAGTTGCTCAGTAATTTTGTTCCTTTAATGCTTTACGGAAATAGTACTAATCATTTCTGATTATGAGACAGATCTTAATTCAATTGGTGGGTTAACTCCTCTCCTGAGTTATTTAAAGAACTCACATGCCAACATTCGAGCAAAAGCTGCAGACGTGGTTACCACCATTGTGCAGAACAATCCACGAAGTCAACAACTGGTTATAGAAGCAAATGGATTAGAACCTCTTCTCTCTAATTTTACATCGGACCCTGATATGACTGTTCGAACCAAAGCACTTGGTGCCATATCCTGTAAGTAAAGTTCTTGTTCAATAATCTCTTTGGGTAATTTTCATTATTATCAGATATTTTGTATTAGTTTCTGCCCTGTCATCCGTGGCTTGATAGGATTTTGATCTGATATTTGTTTGGTTGGCTTTTCAGCTTTAATCCGGCACAACAAGCCTGGTATTACGGCTTTTCGTCTTGCGAATGGTTATGCTGGCTTGAGAGATGCTTTGGGATCTGAGAATGTTAGGTTTCAAAGGTAATTCTTGGAGAAGTTTGGGCTTGTTTCTTTTTCACTTTGAAATAATTTCTGTAGTTTGAATTTAGAGGGGTTTGTAACTTAGAAGAACTGAGATGGCAGATTAACTGAAGTCTACTTGAAAAATAGTTGACATGCTCATATGGCTGACTGCTATTTGTTATTTATCAAGTTAGCTTGTTGACTTAGTTTTCTAACAAAATTAATCATTTCCAGGAAAGCTCTGAACTTGATTCAGTATCTGCTGCATGAGAATAGTTCAGATTGCAATGTGGTAAGTGAGCTAGGATTTCCCCGCATAATGATGCACCTTGCCTCCAGTGAAGATGGAGATACACGTGAAGCTGCTCTTCGGGGCCTTCTTGAGCTTGCTCGTGAGAAGCCAGATGGGAGCACTGGTAAACTGGGTGAAGAAGATGAGAAATTAAAGCAACTGCTCGAAGATCGGATTAAAGGCATCAGCTTAATGTCAGCCGAAGATCTAGGTGCTGCTAGGGAGGAAAGGCAGCTTATAGACTCCCTCTGGAATACCTGCTACAGGGAACCATCTTCTCTTCGAGAGAAGGGACTTCTTGTTCTTCCTGGGGAAGATGCTCCTCCACCTGATGTTGCCAGTCAGCATTTTGAGCCTCCCCTTAGAGCTTGGGCTGCAAATTCTGATGCCAATACTAAGTCCAGTACCAAAAAGAAGGAAGCTCCCCTGCTGTTAGGAGTGGGTCCTTCATCGGCTACAAATAATCAAGGACCCTCAACTGGTGAAGCAGCAAATAATCAAGGACCCCCAAGCGGTGAAGCAGATTCTGGTCGATAGATGATTTTCCATTGATAAAACCGTAATGTAGCTCAGGCAGTTGTATTGTTATAAAATAAATGTACATTTTTTGTTTTTTGTTTTCAAAGAAACCAAGAAAAAAAATCGTTAGCTAACTGTCAGTATATGATAAATTTTGTTTCTTTATTGTCTTGGCAATCTTTTTATCGCACATCATGGTTATGTTGGAGGTAGTGTTGGGTGATTAAAAAAGACCTCCCTTTGGCGATGGAATTGTATTCTATTTAGCTCAAGGGTCCAAATTTTATGCTTCCCTGTATAGCGTGAAATGTAGGTTTGTTGCTCGTGAAGTATTTTACGTACGGTTCTAAATTTCTCAACAGATCCAACTTCTGGGTCACGAAAATTAAGAAAGAGAGCACTGTACTTATAAATTTGGGGTTGAAACAGAGCAACAGGACGAAGATGAAGAAGTGGCATTTTTGAGCGTTACATTCCACTTTGTGGTTGGATATCAACCCTTCTCTGAGGTTGGGATTTAGGAATGCATACTAAGTTGTAATCTTTGCCATCTCGGTATGTGCCTTTCCATCCATTTTTCTTTTCATGGAGCTCCTTAGATAATCTCCATACCTGACTTTCTGGTACATCAACTTTTGAGAACCCACTTGATGATCTAACTGCTCGATCTCGACATCGTTTTGATGAATGATAAATGATGCATAAGAAATTCTTGCTTTCTTCTGGTTTGTCACTGCTCTGTGTTCAACACTCTTGTACTTCCCATTACTCCAAATCTGTTATTACAATGTGGAGGAGAGAAAGTTAGTTTCAGTGAATTTTGACTAACTCAAACTTGCCAAGTTAGTGGCTGAGTACCTCAATAACATCTCCAACGTTTACCACTAGAGCATCTTGAACGGGTTTAACTGGAACCCATTCTTCATTGTGCTTGATCTGCAACCCTTCTGTATCATCTTCTTGCATAAGAATTGTTATGGTGCTTGAGTCCGAGTGTGGACTTAACCCCAGAACTAGGTCTCGCCTACTGCACGTGGGATAATAATTCACACGCATTCCCTGTGCCCCTTGTTTGTGCAGGCCTAGAAGAGCATCCTTATCCATACCCATGATTCTAGAAAATGAACGCAGGAGCTCCTCTCCAACTTCTTTGACTCCATTGGAAAATGATTCAATTATCTCTCTGCATTAATGCAACATTTTAGTTATGAGATGACCATTAATTATATGTACTTGAATGAATAGACTTACTTAAATCCCTTGGGTGTGCGTGGCCAGAAGTTGAGCTTCCGATAGTGAGAAGGATAAACAATTAGCATCAGTGCATCTGACCAGTCCAGTATCTGATCTTCGGAGACTACATACGCTTGCCCGTATCCTTGTATGTCATTGGAGGCCACTTTATATTTTTTCCTCTCTTCTAATGGAAGCGCGAAAAACTCCGCTGCAGCATCTTTCATATTTTGCAACACTTCTTTCGCCACTCCATGATTCACCACCTGCAAAAAGTTTAAGGGATTCAATGTAGTCTTTGATGGGATCAAATGGCAAGGTGGTATGGATTGTCAGATCAACTTTGTATTTCTTATATACCTGAAAGAAGCCCCACTCTTTGCAAGCAAGATCCAGTTTGTTCAGCTCCTCCACGTCTCCTGTTGAGAGCAGTGACAAATCAATGACAGGAATCGGGGAAGAAAGATGAGACATATCGTCCATTTGGAGTCTTTCTTCTTGGTTTCTTATGTATCTTCCAGGAACCTGCAAAGGTTCCTTCCTCACCATTTCCTGAACATTTGGTACCGGCAGAGATGGTGCATACGTGGGGGCATCCATATTTTCTGTGATGATCTCATCAGAGTTTGAACCCATGTTTTTTCTATTAGATTGTTGGTTCTCTTACTTGCATATTGAACTGCCAGCAGATGATCTTAAGTACATATAGCCAGTGCTATGGTGACCCGTGACAAAGCTCTTGGATGTTAGCCAAAGGAATCTTTGCTATTCCCTCAACTAAGGATTCTTTTAAGGTAGATTATTTGGAACTTTCTTCCTGCTTAATCTGGTTTTTGGATACACTGTATCTTCGTTTTACTTGGTGAATTGTCTCAGTGGAGTGTCCTGCAACCATGCTAACTCATTGTCCAAGTAAAAAAGCTTTGTATGTTGCCTTAGTTTAGTATTTTGGAATTTATCTAGAATTATCCCTTTGATTCTTGTGATTAGTGTGTAGTTTGACATATCTGTACAAGTAAAAAGACTTCTTCCATCACCCTTGGTTGTCCGTTCGTCATTCTCAGTGCTGTTGGAATTTGATCAGGTCATCAACTTGGTTCAGACAAGCATTCAGCCACATCTAACTGGAGCCTCGGGACATGATCCCTTTAGAAAATGAAAGGTTCAGATGGGATTGGTAAATTAGGTGAAGAAGCTGAAAAAAGAAGCAACCACGAAATAAAGGCAATTCGTAGACTCCCTCTGGAATAACTGACATGTATTAACTGATTTAATGCATCAAATTACTATGTATATAAGATTGGATTTTATCTAATAATAAGCAAATTTTCGTCTAATAGTGTTTAATAAATACAATAAAGATTGTATTAACATCTTCTTCTAGAAATGCTTCATCTTCTCCCATTCTGTAGATATTACAAATACATACATCAGAAGATATGTGCTGTAAGGGGAAGTATGAGACCGACATTGAAGGGTTTTTGGTAAACAATGAAGAGGTGATTTTTTCGCTTACACCTCAAGATATGGTTAATTCATTATTTTTCTTTTATATTAAAGTCTTGTATAGGCATTTATTTTTATGGGCTTAACTTCTGGCCCATTAAAATATTGGGCTTATTCAGACTGGTCCATAAAAACTGGGTGTTCTGGCAGTGTCTGGAATCGTCTCCACCCTCCACTACTCCCCATTGTCGGTACGTGCCCGCTATAGTGCTATTTATATGAAGAGTCTCTCCCATTCTGAACTTCATTTGAAATTTTGTATTAACACACACGATTCTGCTGGTTTATTAATAGGGTTAAACTAGGTTTTTATTTGGAAAAAAATGGCCAATACGGACCCAATTGGACGGATTACTTAAGTGGAGCATCGCGAACTCTGACGGCACCGTTCACAACGCAATTTGAGGTACCAACTACAGTTCTTTATTATTTGAAGTGCTTTTGGTTTATGGACCTTAAATTAAGGTTATTAATGGATTGGTTTATGTCGGTTAGTGACGAAGATCGAAGATGTTTATGGAAGCGATGCAAGCGCAGACCGTGGAGGTAATTCAGCGCAAAAAGAGTAACTCTTGTCATGCAAACTCCTGAGCAAGTTTTGGAGGCTCAAGGAGTTACTCCGAAAGATATTGAAGGTAATTTCATAGTATCTATTATTATTATTTTTAAGTTTTCTTAGTTTATTAAATGTTTATGTATTGACTGTAATGTATGTTATGGTCGCAGATTTGTTGGATGACCTACAAGAGCATGTGGAGTCCATTGACATGGCTAATGGTATGTGCTTATGCTATTTTATGAGTAGGGTTTATTTGAATTTTGGGTTTGCATTTCAATTTTACAATTGTCAATCCAATACTATATCCAAATTACTCGTATTATGTCACGCCTGGCCAATATGAAGTATCTTTATCACTAGGGAGTTGCATTTTCCTAGGACAGGAAATGTATCCATTGTTTGGATATATTCATTATTAGTACTTTCCTAGAAGCAAACGAACATTATATGAATAAAGTATTTGTTGCCTGTAAAAGCTACATTTTGGTTGTTTGAATCAGTAGTAGCTATATATGTTTGTTTCTAACGTTCTCTCTTAACCTTTAGTGTGTTATATTAGTTCGATTTTAGGTTTTTAGTTGGATATTTGTGAGTATTATTATCCAAAAAAACACAATTGCCAAACGGACTTTTGAGCAGAAACAAAAGTTTTAAATCATTTTTTATATCTGAAAAGGAAAAAATTGGATCAAACACTGGCTGGATTGGTTTTGAATAAGCTATTCAGAGATATTTGGAATTTTGTGATATAATTCACTTTACACTAAGTGCGCACATTCCCTTGTCTTTTATGGTTTATGGATTTTGCTTCCACTATGATCTTTTGCAAGGGTGTTCTGTTTGAATTCTTTTTGTACACGGTTTGGAAGTAGATGTACTTTTTGAATTTGTTATATAACAATATTCCACCTTAAAGAATCAAGCATGGAAATGAGATATAGATAAGACTGAAGTTACTCTAAATAAATGAATTTTTGGTGTCTCACATTTTTACCTCCTCCCCCTCCTTTTTCTGACTTGTTTTATCATATATTGTCTACCTTCTGTGAGTTGCTCAGTATTTTGTTCCTTTAATGCTTTACGGAAAGTACTAATCATTTCTGATTATGAGACAGATCTTAATTCAATTGGTGGTTAACTCCTCTCCTGGGTTATTTAAAGAACTCACATGCCAACTTCGAGCAAAAGCTGCAGACGTGGTTACCACCATTGTGCAGAACAATCCACGAATCAACAACTGGTTTTAGAAGCAATGGATTAGAACCTCTTCTCCTAATTTTACATCAGACCTGATATGACTGTTCGAACCAAAGCACTGGTGCCATATCCTGTAAGTAAAGTTCTTGTTCAATAATCTCTTTGGTAATTTTCATTATTATCAGATATTTTGTATTAGTTTCTGCCCTGTCATCCGCGGCTTGATAGGATTTTGATCTGATATTTGTTTGGTTGGCTTTTCACTTTAATCCGGCACAACAAGCCTGGTATTAGGCTTTTCGTCTTGCGAATGGTTTGCTGGCTTGAGAGATGCTTTGGGATCTGAGAATGTTAGGTTTCAAAGGTAATCTCGAGAAGTTTGGGCTTGTTTCTTTTTCACTTGGAATAATTTCTGTAGTTTGAATTTAGAGGGGTTTGTAACTTAGAAGAACTGAGATGGCAGATTAACTGAAGTCTACTTGAAAAATAGTTGACATGCTCATATGGCTGCACTGCTATTTGTTATTTATCAAGTTACTTGTTGACTTAGTTTTCTAACAAAATTAATCATTTCCAGGAAAGCTCTGAACTTGATTCAGTATCTGCTGCAGGAGAATAGTTCAGATTGCAATGTGGTAAGTGAGCTAGGATTTCCCCGCATAATGATGCA